TATACACCAAGGCTAAAAGTATCCCTAACCTGCCCAGAATCCCATACAACTCCATTACACAAATCGAATCTGACAACAAGTCCAACAAAAGCAACAGTGAACACAATATACATCTCTTAGCCCCCAAAGAATCGGTACCACCACATGACTCAGCTAGTGACCAAACAAATACAAGCATAGCCACAAACAGCAATGCAAACAAAGATACAAACCCCTACCCAACCATCACCACACCCCCAACCAATCCTGCCAGTAATACTATCACCACTACCTACTCTACACCCAGACCTAGCACACCTCCAGATCAAATCACTATACCCAACACTAGTATCAATCGTAAAAGAGCTCGAAACATATCACCATTAATTACAACCTCTAACAAGGCTGCCAAAGTGCTCTCTAGTAGCTCCTCTACCACCTCCAGACCTCTTACAAATAACCAGACACCCACAACCAAACTATCATACAGCCAAGTTACCAAAACCAACCTCAAATTACTGGTTACTGATGCCCCTGATGACATGGAATGGGCCACAATCATACATAGCAGAATCTCCACACCCTCCAACACCTCCTTCAATACAGAGACCTGGATATACGATGCTATCACAACCGCACTTACTACTCCAGAAAGCATATACAAACTCACCTGCTACAAGCTAACTACTATACCTATCTAATTTAAATTGCCAGAAGCAATTCTCTTAAAATTTGTACACCTTGATACCAGATTCTTTACAACATTTACCTGCAACCTTAAAACCACACCTGCACACCAAAAAGAATATACCAACCTCTTTGATAGAGCCCTTACAGTATATAAAAAAGATAATAAAATTACACTTACTAACACCATAACCTGCAACACTATCCACATAATACTCAAGAGGATGCTTATCACACAATATATCTCTAACTTCAACTTCACAAGCATCCCACCAAGCCAAATATACAGAGTAGTTCAGTATGCCAGAGGCTTTCTACAAATCAAAAACCCAGATGAACAGACCTCCAAAGAAATTAAAACCCAAATCAATAATATACTAGAAAGCAAACTAATACCACTTCTGGACATGCCTGACCAAATCTACACAGAAATCCAAAACATTATCCCATTTAAGCTCCCAATTACACAACGGTCACACACAAGAGCAATAGTCAACGCTCTGAGAAGAATCTTCAAATTTTCTGAGTTACCAGCAACCTACTTTGCCAAACTTTTTCCCTTACCTTCACACTATAGTACTCTTCCTACTAGCCTTCGCCAGCTATTCCTGATCTCATATCGATCCTCTCTTCAGCACCTAGCAGCATACAAAAGAAAACTAGCAGACTACTACACAGTAACCAAAATCCCCGATACCTACTTCAAACTCCCACC